CTTTAAGAGTAGGCATAAAAATTGTCATCTACCTGTGAATAATAACATTAACCCCCAAGAAAAGAAAATAAACACAGCAGCACAGGTTAAAGCCATTTAATATCGAAGATCATACGAAATATAAGATGGAATTCAAATCCTGCCAAACGAACTGGAAAGCTAAATACTTTATCATTTAGAACCAAAAAGAGATAAACACCATCACGGTGTCGAGTTAAATCTAAAAACTGAAAACTTAGGTCTTTGAAATAGAAAACTGAAATCACCTTATACAGTGTGATCAACAGAGGCACTAAACCTCGATGAGTCATTGTGAAAGCAGCAATCAAGCACGCCTCCTTCGTGCATAAACTCTCCCCTAAGCGTATTGGCGCTCGCTTCGAACACTCTAACAGTAAAATCATCACGAAAAACTTTTTTTAAACACAGTAAAATATGAATCGCGGGTCCAAAATTGAAAAAGACCAAACACACCACTATCAATGAAAGCACGAGCCAAACCTTGTCCTAGGAAGAAACAAGCAGATGATCGTTGTGATTCAAGAAGCCATAATCACTTCAATCTTCAAACAATTCAACAATTAAGTAGAAGAAATAGAACTCTACGAAAATCCCAAAAGGCAACAACAAATAAAGTAACTAAGATTATTGCAAGAATTAGGGCATAAAGAAGCAACAATTCACCCATTCGACAAATCACAATCAAGAATTACTATTTTTCTTTTCTGTGTTTGGGTCTCGAAAATCATTCAACCAAATGCTCCAAAAAAACCCTAATTTTGGCAAAAGATGAAAAAAAAAAGATTTAGAGGAACAAGGTAATCAACGGCCGATTTACCGAGGATGCTGGCGAACTCGGTGAAGCTAATGACGTCGTTGCCTTTGGTGTCAGCCTCTCGCATCATCTCCCTGAGCTCGAGGAGGTGAACGGCGGTTGGTCCATCATGTCCAATCTAGCTGGCCAGCTCGGCGGTGGTGATGCAGTCGTTCCCATCGTGCCTTAACAAAGACGGAGGGGAGGCGAGGTGAGGCAGAGGCGGAGGAGAAGGCGTGGCGGCGTGAAGAATTGAAGGTGAAGAAGAAGAAAGTTGCGTGACTGAGATTTGGGAATTGGGAGATTAAAATGAATACCTATTTTCTTAGAGCACATTTGTTAGGGTGGATGAGATTAGATAATTTTAATCCTGTGAGCCAAGATTGTACTGTTGAGATTATATGACATTTATGTTTGTTATCAAGGATGGATCCAAGATAGGATTTTGTTAATTTTTGTATTACACATTTGTTTTCCTAGATAAGATATAAGATAAAATCTATGAATTACTAATATGCCCTTAATTTTAATAATTAATAAAAACACATAAAATATACCTAAAGAAAATATTAAAGGACATGAAATGTGGGTCTGAAGGCAGTCTCTTCTAAACACTATTTTTCTCTAGAGAAAAAAATCAACCACAGTAGTTGCAGAACAATCAAGAAGTTGAAACACAGTAATTGCAGAACAATCAGAGAATATGGTAATTGGCCGTACATGAGGAGCCAAGACTGGTCCACAAACTTGTTCCGTAGATCTAAACATCCTCGCCACCTTGCACATGAAATGAATGCAACAACAAAATAAATTAAAAAAAAAATGAAGTAGAATTTGATTTTGGTGAATCAATGTACGGTGGTACATCTGTAGGATGAAGAGAGAAAGTATAAGAAATTTTAGAGAAGAAAAGGGGATTTAGCAATATGCCCATCATCAACGCACTTGTAGCAGGCACCACCGCCGCCGCCATGTACCCTCCTCCACCGCCTTATCCACCACCCCCTTACGAGCGGAAGCCGCCGCCTCCCTTGTTGCTGTCATCGTAACCACCGCCCCTGCCTCCCCATCGTAACCTCCGCCTGCCGCCGTAAGATCCGCCGCGACTGCTGCCCTGGATGGGCGCGCTGCCGGGGCCGGTCACGTCCTCTGCCTTGTCGCGGCTGTCATTGGCCCGCTCGACGACCAATCGGCCGTCGATTCCTTGGCCAAGCTCTGAAAACCCTCGAATTTGATCGCCCATCCCTCCGCCAGTGCTCTGAAATTTCTCGTGTTGGTAGGGGTGTTTCAATTGTAGATTATTCAATAATAAAGGGTAAAGTTGTCACAAAATCAAAATACTGGGGCTAATTTAGTCTTTTGGCAAAAAAACACTGTGTAGAAGGACCGAATCTGGCCTACCTCCTCGAGACTGAATTATCGTGGGAAATGGAGATTATGCACGATTTGGTCGCGGGCCGAGGTCAGTCTTACGGGCCATAATCAGTGCTACCAAATGTGAATTTTAGGGTAGATAAAGGAGCTTATCTTGTCCAATCCACCTTATCAAACGTGCCCTTATATTACAATTATATAAATGGTAGATATATTAATTTCACGCGTATTAGCAAGGAATATACTGTCACTACAAGAAATTGTCAAAATGCCAACAAAAATTACCAACAAAAATTTTTCCGTTAGGGATTACCAACGGATCACCAACGGATTAGTAATGCATTATATATACAATTTTTATAATCAGATTACCAATAGAATACTAACAAAATATAGCAACGAAAATTATAACAAATAGTGACGGAAATATTCCGTTAGTAAATACAAACAAAATACCAATAGAATAGCAACAAACTCTTTCAAAATTATATTAGCAACGGATTTTTTCCGTTGGCAAATAGCAACGGGCACCTTCAATATTGTATTAGCAACGGATTATTCCGTTGGTAAATAGCAACGGATTTTTTCCGTTGGCAAATAGCAAGGGAATAGCAACAATTTCTTTCAAAATTATAATAGCAACGGACTATTTGGTTGGTAAATAGTGACGGATTTTTTCCGTTGGCAAATAGCAACGGACACCTTCAATATTGTATTAGTAACGGATTATTTCGTTGGTAAATAGCAACGGATTTTTTCCGTTGGCAAATAGCAACGGAATAGCAACAAACTCTTTCAAAATTGTAATAGCAACGGACTATTCTGTTGGTAAATAGCAATAGAATTTTTTCGTTGGCAAATAGCAACGGAATAGCAACAGACACATTCAATATTGTATTAGCAACGGATTATTCCGTTGGTAACTAGCAATGAAATAGCAACAAACTCTTTCAAAATCGTATAATATCATTATTATTATTAGTTATAACACTTACAAAAGTAAAATTCTTTATATATATATATATATATAATGATAAATATTTAATTTACATCAATATTATTTAGTTATGTAATTAACTTAATAATATTTAAATCAATTCAAAATAAATATGTGCCACATATGCATTCCATTCATTTTTAGAATTTGTTATATATCATAATAATTAAAAAAAAAATCATATGTAACAAGGAGTAATGTATCTCTCCACTGCCATAAGGCCTAGCTAGATATCATTATCACCAACTGATAAAAACAAAGAAACTACAACTAAAAGGAAAAAAAAAAAACTAAAGAAAGAAAAAGTCCTATTAATAGCAGCAACAACTTCAGCAGCCTAACTACCAACAGCTAATGAGGCTTCAAGCCAATCCTTGTGAGCTGCAGGTATCACCATGTAGTCAGCCATCAGAGTTTTTTTGAATATCCAAAGGTTGCGTGACTTCCATAGCCACCATAGAAGATAGGTGCTTAACTGGATTCTGTCTTGTACAACATCAGTCTGTTTTAAGGAGCTAATGTGCTGCCACCAGGTTTTGAAGGAAAAAGTGAAGTTCTGAAATCCATCCCAATGTACTGGTGCTTTGTCCCAAATTCTGATTGCTCTTGGACAGGACAAAAGAATGTGCTCTGTTGTTTCTGGTTTATCCCCACAGATTGAACATATAGCAGCTATTTCTGAACCTCTCCTTCTCAAATTCATAGCTGATGGTAATGTGTCTGAAATACACTTCCAAATGAAGTGCTTAATTTTTCCAAGCATTTTCATTTTCCAGCACCTTTGAAAAATTTGTTGTGGAGGGAAATAACTTGTGCTGGCCTCAGGAATGTCCAGCTTAAGAAGCTTCTGATCAATCACGCAGTTATAAGTGCTGGAAACTGAAAAAAGGCCCTTTGAGTCAGGTCTCCAAAGCAGCCTATCTGGTCTTGATGGATTGAGTGTGTTGATCTTAAGGATTGCTGCACTGTCTTCTTTGTCAAATACCTGTTCAACTAGCCAGCTGTTCCACTCCTTTCCATTGCTTTGAAGGAAATCTTTTACCCAAATCAGATGCCCTCGAGCTAATTCTATCAAAACTGGAGCAGGCTTTTTTAGAAGTGGAACCCAGTTTATATCATCAATTCTAGTGCTAAGGCCATTTCTGATTTCAGTTTTCACACAGTTAGTAAAGAAAGGCAGCACTGAGAGCCAGCTATTCCACATCCACGAACTTTTTTGAGTCCTCTCAGCTTTGAAGATGGAGCTTCCAGGAAAATATCTGTCCTTTAGTATTTTGCTTACCAGCAGCTCTGGATTTGTTGAGATTCTCCAAATTTGTTTGCAAATTAAGGCCTCATTGAACAGACCTATATCATGAAATCCCAGACCACCTTTGAGCTTTGGCAGAGTGATCTTCTCCCACTTCTTCCAATGTATACCAGTTCCATTATTATCTCCAGATTTCCACCAGAAAGATGCACATAGTTTTGAGATTTCTTTGCAAACTGATACTGGCAATTTGAAGCAGGACATTGAGAAGATGGGAAGAGCTTGAAGGACTGACTTTATCAACACTTCCTTTCCAGCAGATGAGAGAAGTTTACCTTTCCACCCCTGTAATTTGCTGTTGATGGATAGAAGAATGTAGTCAAAAACTTCTTTTTTTGATCTTCCAATGCCCAGTGGCAATCCAAGATATCTAGTTGATCTATGAGGCACAATCCCTTGAAGGATGCTACAAACACTGTCTTTTACTGTCTGAGGTGTGTTTCTACTAAAGAAAATACCTGACTTTTGGAGATTAACCTTTTGGCCAGTGAACCTCCTGTATTTATCCAAAAGATTGAATTTTGTGATATTGTTTTTTAATTAGAGTATTGAATATTATGATAGATGATAGATGATATTAAAAAATCATATATACATATATATGATTTTATAATTGTACTTATTATTTATAAAGATATTTAGATATATGATAAAATTTTACCAAAATATTTATTTTAATTTGTGAATAAAAAATTTTATAATGACACTTATTTTGAAAGGAATATAATATAATTTGTTATCAGTTAGTGCACTGTACGAGTTGTGTATTAATTTAAATAGACACATTTATGTAATTTTGCACAGTTTAAATTACATATAATATTTTCAATAAATTAATATAGATAAATTATATTATATATTTATTCCATATTTTTATTTTGTAAACATTATTTAATGAGGTAATAAATTTGAATGATAAGGTGGCCGACAAAAAATCTAGAAAATTGCGAGAATATATATATATATATATATCTGTGTTTGTGTGTGTATACATAATAAATAAAAATTTATTGTATATATATATATATATATATATCTGTGTGTTTGTGTGTGTGTACATACATATATAAATGAAAATTTATTGTGTAGTCCAAATTTGAGTTTCAAATTTAAAAGTTAAATAAGTAATTATTCATAACTTATGAGTCAATACTAACTTAAACGTAAATGAAATAGTTAATTATTTAATTTAATAAATTACTCAACTACTTAAAATTTTTTATTTGGATAGTTTATACAAAAATAAATTCATTTTAATTAACTAAACAATATAAGTTTTTATAATTATACTTATTGTTTTAATAGATATTTAAATATTTGATAAAATTTTACCAAAATATTTCTTTAATGGAATCACATTGTAATTGAATTTATAAACACTTATTTTTAAATAAATATTATATAATTTATTATTAGTTAGTCCACCGTACGGGTTGTTTACTAATTTAAATAGACATATTTTATGTAATTTTTTACAATTTAAATTTCGTATAATATTTTAGTAAATTAATATCGGTAAATTGTATTACACATTGATTCTATATTTTTAATTTATAAATATTTAATGTGTATTTTTAATTTATAAATTCTAATACATATTTCTTACCCTTACGTTGTACGGGATTCGTACTAGTTCATTTAATAATGTCATAAATTTATAGATACTAATATATATAGTCACTATTTTTATAATTAGACATTAAAAAAAACACCTAATATAATTGAACGGTTAGATCATAAATAATATAGAAATATTTATGAATTTAAATATAGAATATAATTTATATATATATATATACGAGAAAATAATTAGTAAATATATATAAATTATATCCTAGTGGTGGTGTTATATATATATATAAAAATTGTAGAATTCAATATCATACATTCATATAGCCTAGTGGTAGTGTTACCTCTTTAACGTGCAAGAGGTCTTGAGTTCAAGCCCTATTGTTAGGAGAATTGTGAGAATTACTAAGGATTATATTGGTAGATGGCCATGGGTCATGGTGAGCCGTGTGGTTCAAGGTGGCCATGGGCTCAAGGTGAGCCAAGTTGGAATTCAACAATATTATTATTTTTTTTATTTTTATTTTTTTTGCTGAAAAATCCGTTGGTAATCTGTTGGGAAAAGTCCGTTGGCAATCCGTTGGGAAAAATATATGCGTTGGTAATCTGTTGGGCAATCCGTTGGGAAAAATATATGCGCTGGTAATCTGTTGGGAAAATTCTGTTGGTAATCCGTTGGGAAAAAATATTAGTTAGCAATCCGTTGGGAAAATTTCGTTAGTAATTCGATGGGAAAATTCCGATGGTAATCCGTTGGAAAAATATCTATTGATAATCCGTTGGGAAAATTACGTTGGAAATCCGTTGAGAAAAATCTGTTGGTAATCCGTTAGTATATTCGTAACTAATATGTTGGCTTTTTGTTAGTAATTTGCCAACGGAATGATTTAGCAACTACATTTTCCGTTGGGAATCCATTGACAATCTCATGAAGCATTTCCATTGCAAATTTGTTGGTCATCCTTTGAGAATTTTCCCAACGGATTGTATTTTCTGTTGGCAAAATTTAGTAACAAGACATATAGCAACAAGAAAATTTGTTGGTAAGCCATTGACATTCCGTTGGGAAATTTCATTACCAACGGATTATTCCGTTGGTAAAACTCATATTTCTTGTAGTGTGTGTTGTATTACTAAAATGTAAAATTTAAGGATATTATCTGCAAACTTTTACTGAATAACTTAAAATTTAAAAAAAAAGAAATATTGATGGATTATATATTTTCTACTTAAGCAAATAGAGTATTTTAATTAAAAAAAATNAGGTGGCCAAAACAAGGGCTGGGCCCGGACTTGGCCCGGCAGGATACCGAGCTCGAATACGGGGACCCAAAATTGGCCCAAACCTAGGGTCGTGTCGGGCCAGCCCGACCCGGGTCTGGGGCCATAAAAAAAAAACAAAATATATGGTGATTTCCTAGGCCAAACAAAATATATAAGTATATTAGTTACATTATTATAGATATATTAATCATGAGTATGACAATTTTTAAAAATTTCATTAAATATAATTTTTAAAATATTTCATTATATTATTATTTTATTGACATATTTTAAACAGAATCACAATTATTTAGTTATAATTTTATTTTGTAAAAGAGCCACTAAATTTATGTTGGTAAATAAGACGACACATTTTTAAAAGCAATAATATGCAATTACGTATTTAACAGAAATGTTTCCATATAGATAAAAAGAACAATATTTTTTTTATAAGCGTCATAATTCAATAACATTTTTGAAATAACGTCACTATATTGTCAAATAATTCGACACTTGTTTAATTATGTCACTAGCTAAATAATTACGCTTTTTTTAAGTGTTGTTAAATGCTCAGAAAACGGCGACACAACTGTATAAGTGTCATAACGTAACTACACTTTCAGGTCAATGTTGTCATATTAGTAAAAATTGTGACATTTTTTTAAAAATGTGACACTATTCTAGTACATATTGCAAAATGTGTTGCTATATAGCTAAACATGACGACGCTTTTGTATAAAACGTCATAATTTTAATTACACTTTTATATAAATGTCATAATATTGATTAATACGGTGACACTCCTAAAAAGTGACATGAACTGATTACATTTTTTAAAAACCGTTGTTATAATTTTATCTTTGTAACTCTTTTTAAAAAGTGTCACAAAGACATCAATTTTAATTACACTTATTAAAAAGGTCACTATATTTATGTTGTTAGACCTCTTTTTTGTTGTAGTGTGGTTTGAACGGTTTTTGACCGATTCGAACGCTGGGCGGTTTGATGGTCCAAACCGGACCGGATTGAAGGCCGGTTCCCGGTCCAACCAGTTGAACCGGCCGGTCCGATCTAGTTCTGAGAACCATGCAAAAACTATTTTTTCATTTTCACTTAGCTCAAGCCACATCTAAGCTATTGGGAACTCATTGCCCAAAATCACATTTCAAGAAATCGAGATACTCATTAATAAGCATTCTCGAATCAACAGTCATAAACATAATTCAACAACGTTCATAAATCCAAAACGCACAAGTTTGGAAAACGTTCAGCGGAAGCAAAATAAACATAGTTCATAAATCAAAGGATCACACACTCGCCCCATAGTCTGCAACCAACACTCAACCTGAAAAAATACAAATAGTGGGATTGAGCAAACAACTAGCTCACCGTGAGAATTATTGTGCAATTAATTACTCAATATAATAACTGACAACATCATCGCAGCATGAACATAAATCTTCACAAATCTACATCCAACCTTGTCATACGCTCATGTATGTACACACTTTTACCGTCGGCATACATCCATCGACGGTAGCCAAACCGTCGGCTTTCATATACAAGTCGAGTTGTTATATTTTTCGATAAAAAAATGTATAAAATATTTATTTATATTTATGTTTGTTTTTTAAAGTATAATGTCTCAATATGGACATATTCTGTTAAAATGGCTCGTTAATTAATTTTCTCAATTACTTAATTAATAACAGGACGTAAATAATATATAGCAGTTATTTAATTGTAAGGAGGAGACGTGGAGTGTAAGGTTGAAGTTCATGATGGTGGCGTGCAAGAAAGGTGCATTTCCAGTTATTATGTGGTTTTTAACACTTCACAATGCATGCATTAGGGAACTTAAAATTCAACAAAATTAATTTTTTTTTTCTTTAGGGAAGAAATGGACAAAGTTTAAAATAAAATAAGGTTTGTCAATTTTTAGAGTTATGATCAATATAAGATTGAAAACTACAGCTGCTCTGTTAAGTGTTCACAACACAATGCCCTCATCATCATGTAATTGGCTCGATCTAAAGTCAAATAGTCTATGAATTGAAATTATCAAAATGTATAAAGATGCCATGAATAAAAAATGTTTATGAGATGCATTTCATGAACAGAGTTAAGTAAATAAGTATAAGTTTAGTTCATGTAAATCAGTAAAAATAGAGACATAATTTGAATATTATTATTTTCCTGTGGTTCAGTAGCTCATTTAGATATAAGATATTGGTATATTTTTGTCTGGCTCCGTAGCTGATTTAGTTATTTGTATGTTAATTGATATATAGATATGTGGGAAAATTTTCTTTTATCCATTAGATTATTTATTTTTTAAAAAAAAAAAATCTTCATTACTTTGGTGGACATTAAACTTACAAATTAACAAAAATATAAGGAAAATGTAAATCATAAGAGACAAGATTTCATTTACCCAAGCTATTTTCCATCCAAAATAATTTGAGTTGTTTTTTGTCCAGCTTATATACTTTTGACAAAGTACTATACTAAACTTCATTTCAGTGAAAGTCGCACAATGTTTAATCAGGCTTAAATTGGTGAAATGTTGTGGTTTGTCTTTTGATTTTCATTTAAAAATTTAAATTTAAATTGCCATTCGATTTATTCCTCTTCAAATGTTATATTTGGATTAGAGTGGAGTTTCATTAAAGAGAAGATTAGACGAGCCATATACGTATAGAGGGGTTAAATAGTGAGCTTATAAATGTGTTGGCATTGCCTCTAAGCACATGATTATAAGATGGGTGGTACCACTAATTGCCTTTGCATTGCATGTTTAGTGAGTAGCATGTGTATTTTATCACATAATTGATTGTACAATTCCAGTTAAACACAGACAACATCATATTGCACAATTCAGATCATTGAATTTTCACCCTACAACTTTTTAGGATCACATGTTAGAATTGGATTTAACTTTATTTGAAATAAATTGATTAATCCCAAAATCTTTCATATTGAATAATCGAGAATCATAACTTAATAGCGGAAGCGTACCTGATTGATTCATGTTGATTGATTATTTGAATTTGAGATTTGGAAATCTTCCAAAAGACCGTGAATTTTCTTTAGTTTTCTTTATTTTTCCTTTCGGACGTATTGAAAGAAAAACTTGTTTCCAAATGATGCCTCTAACCTCCCTTTTTATTGATTAGTGACAACTAATCACATTTAATGAAAAATTGTCTGTAGCTTACCAACTGGCAACTACCACCAATCAACGTTATTATTTTTATTCCGTATGGGTTATCCTTATGTGCATCATTTTATTTTTACGGCTTTTGGGGACTCCACCCATAAATAATTTTGACCCAAATTATATGATATTTAGGTCCTTTAGTTTAATATTATTATTTGCTACATCACCAAATAATAATATTATCGGGTGTCCACATTTAATCATTCCACAATCTAAATTAAGTTCCTTAGCCAATGTACAATAATTTTATCACTTAATTTGGCTAAACACTATAATGACCCCAATATATTAATTACACATTTAATTCCAAATAGATCTAACATCACAATCTAATCTACCGTAGGAAAAGGTCAACTGAATTCATAATAGCAACATTGGTAGATAAATATTTATTATGACAATTTTTTTTTTTTATTTGAGGAACTTAGAAGTGGACAAGTGTCAAGCTTCACTGTAAATTACACAAAAAAAATTGTATCAGCTACTTTTAACCCTTAGCTACACATCATTTGGTCGGTTTGTAGCACTAAACTTCTCCTTTACTGTCTTCTGTGGCTGATTATATAGTTTGCAAGTTTTGTCAGTCAAAAGCAAGAATTCAATCAATGAGCATTACACAGAGTCAATTCCACCATTGCGAATGAAGTTCTTTGTTTGCCG